AAAAAAAAAAAAAAAAAATCAGGTGAGTAAATCTCTGCAGAGCAACACATCCACACTAAGGGCATGATCATGTTCATAACATTTGCGGCATGTAGTTTTGCACGTACTGTGTAAGAGGGAGTGCGAGATGGTTGTGTATCCCCCCCCAGCCCAGCTGCGTATTCCCCTTTATCTTCTCGCATGCTTTTTGCCACTCATCTTATGGCTTGCTTTTTCTTACCTTCGGGGGGGAGCTAACCATCCTTGAGTGAAACTATACTCCACTGCGCCGGTGTCGTGTGTTTAAGAAGAGGCGTCCGCACACTTGGTCATTTTCCCCCATCAGTGTAGTGTAGCGATTAAATTGGCTTGGCTCTCCTTCCTGTTCCCACGTTTCACAGATTTGAAGAGAGGACGATTTTTCCCCACTGCAGCAAGATACAGCGCGTCGCACCCTGAAACGACTTTGCACAAGGAGTGACACACGGACACGCGTGCCGCCCATCTGCACATGAGTGTGTATTTGTGTTTCTCAGCTGGACCTTACACGTGTGTAGAATAGAAAGGAAGCCCTCTGGCAGTGAGTTCCCCGCACGTTCATTCTTCCCGCCCCCCCACACGTGTGTAAGCGACCTCTGTACGAACGATGATGCTGGTGAAGTGCTCCATCCTCGTTGGGATCCTCATGCTGGTGAGCAGCGTCACAGGAAAGTCACACATATCCAAGTGCCTCTTTTACGACAAGAGGAATTCTGAACTGAAGCAGACGTTCTATGTACCAACAAGCGACGTGGACATGTATAAGGCGACCATTCAGAAGCTGCTCACGAGAGAAATAAATCTCCTGGATGAGTCCATGAGCAGCATGGATCAGAGCAGTAGTAGTAGTAGTGGTCAGGGAGGAAGCAGCACCATCTCCAATTTTGATGAAATAAAAAAAAAGGAAGAAAAAAAAAAAAATAAAGAAATGGAAGAAAAATTAAAGTACATTGAAAAGTACAGAAATTACGCCAGAAGTATTTTAAAAAATGTCGAATTTAAATGTGAAAGCGTAGAAGATTTTGAGTCAAAAGTCAAATGCAATTTATGTGTGTACACAGAAATTGTTAATAACAAACATATAAGGCAAGGACAGATTATTCAAATTTTTATGAATGAATGTATGTATGGTTTTTATTACTACGACAATATTAGCAAATACACTCAGAACAGCAAAGCGATTAGTGCCTTTGGGGGGGACAGAAACTCACAATCCAAGCTAGACGATATTTACTTCAGCATCACCAAGGACGTCACCGAGGGAAACACCAACGAGATAAACTTCTTCAAGCAGCCCGAGAGCAAGTACCACCCGGTGTGTTACGTGACCGAGTAGTGCAGATAACTGCTAAAAAAAAAATATATACATGGCCTAGTCAGGCGAATGAAGCGCATAACTGCTAACGAAAAAAATATGAACGGATCAGGCGAAATGTCCGGACTAGCCACGCAAAAAATATGACCCAGTCAGGCGAATATGGTTCATAATTGATAAGGAAAAAAAAAAAAAAAAAAAAGTCGAGCGACCCAAGGGGGCAGCGGACGCACCGCTCAGAGACGCCCCCAAGACGTGTAACCACTTGCGAGTCACGCATGTGTGTTTCGAGCGGTAGTAGGCCCATGCCTTATCAAATTGTATAAAATTAGTTTTGCCTTTGTTTATACAAAAGCGAGGGAAACAAACTTGAAAAAAAAAAAAAAAAAAAAAGCCACACGTAACTTCAAACACTACGTTACACACGTTACGTGTATGTGCTTCAATGCATTTACAACTTCGTATATCACCAACACACTTGGGGTGGGTGGCAACCCTCTTTGGAGAACCAACGCGCGCAGTGCGCCACGACGGAAAGCATGCGCTGTGTACTCGAATCTGCATGTGTGCAGTTCGTTCTGTTTCACTTTTTTTCTTCACCCCCCCCCCACACAAAAAAAAAAAAAAAAAAAAAAAAAAAAAAAAAAAAAAAACCATGTAATTTTTTTTTTTTAAAAGACCCCTATTAATAGACAACTGGCAAAAAAGTTTTTTTTTTTTTTTCCCCTCGAGTGAGCAGCGTTCCTTCAACATGTTCCCTCATGCGGGGATGTGTCGTTTCACGCTAGAGGTTTAATGAGCCCAGACGCGCTCCGTTTCATGAGAGCACGTGCACGTACACATAAACGTGCACAGCCGCATGCACAGCAAACCCTGCGCACACTCACATCTTCAAGGTGCGCACGAAGTGTCTCACATCAGCGTACACAAACTTGTGGCTGTTTTGTAGGAGGAGCTGCCTGGTGTTTCCCCCTTCGCTTGTGTTGACTGTATCGTGCCATGCGGGGGTACCATTAATGCTTGTATCGTACGGACAAACGTCGTGTGCTCGCCCGGTGATGTGGATGGGGATGCGACAGGTACGGCTATACATATTATCGTCGAGGCATTCGTTGAGGCCGAGAGAGTCGGAATGGGTTCCGCCTTGCGCCTCGGCTGCGTTCGCTTCCGTCTTCGCCCCCAATTGGATCGATCCCTTCTCTTCATTGGGTTCATTAATTTTGTGGCCTCCGTTTGTTTCGCCTCTCGTTGCTTCGCCCCCGTTTGTGTCGCCTGTGGCTGCTGCTTCCCCCTTGGAACGGCAGAAGAAATCGAAGTCAAGGAGGTAGTCAACCCTAAGCGTGTCATTTGAAAAGGAGGGGACGACGTCTTCGCCAAGAACAAAACTTACATTCTTTATGGAGCAGTGAAGAGTAGAAACATTCCTTTCACTAATTAATTTGTAACTGCATATGGAACGATGACAGACCCCTTCCGAGTCCACAGAAGTATTTCCCTCATCTGCCATTTCATTTTCACCAAGTACCCTGTTCCGTTGTGCTGTTAAAAGATTAGGGTTTATTTTTACCCGTTCGACTCTCTTCAAACGTATATCTACGTGGACAGTGGAGACGGGTCCTCCCCCAAAGCAGAGCCTAACAGTGATGATGCTACCACATGGGAAGGTATTTGTGACCTGATTGTTCATACCATCCATCAGGGTAATAAGACATATGTTTTTTCTACCCGAGTTTATACGATAAATATTTTGTGATGCATCTTTGTTCTGTGTCGGTCCATTTGAGTTGTCTTTTGCAGGGGACACCACTACCCCCCCTCCTCCTTTATCAGTTGTGCCGCTAACCAGGTGAGGAGACAATCGGTGTGGCTTTATCTTCCTAGTGTTGATTCGCCTGAACATATCCCCATCCTGCATACACTTCACGATCGTATGTATAGTAGTATACGCTTTGTCCAGGAGGAACTCTTTCCTCTGTTCAGGTAAATTTGTGCTAACTCTTCCTCCTTCATGAGGGGCGTCTTCCATCGTTTGGCTTAACATCTCCCGAGATGAAGCACGTGCATCTACCCCCTCACTCGTGGGGGCAGGTTCCTCCAACCCGCTGCTCGACTCGGAGGTGGTATCACCCAAGTACAGATTTGCAAAGGCTTCCTCATCAGTTGCTTCGTTAGGAGAATTGGACTGCTGGTGCAGAATCAAATTGTCGTACCAGTGTATGGGTACGTATTTAATTTGATTGAACACAAAGTTGGGGTAGTTCATGAGGTAAGCGTCGTGCATGTGGTTGTCGTCGTTTTGCAGACACAAGTGGGGGGGGCAACAGGAGACGTCTCGCAAAACGTTCGTCTTCCCTCCACTGTGTGTGGTGTTCTCGCCAGACGGCTCTTCTAGGGGGGGGTAGCCGCCACACGAGCGCAGCAGAGAGAAGAAGGCCCCGAGGCTGCCCATCCGATGGGCGTCCCCACTAAGGGACAGCTCCCCCATATAATAATCGCAGTGATGAGCTATGTACAAAAAGATATGCATGTAATGGAAGTAATTGTAGTTTGGAAGGACGTGGTTGAGGAGGAAGAGAGATGAGTCCTCTTTTCGAAGAGAACACAGGAGGTATAAACAGAGGAGTCTGTCTAGGGGTGTTTTTCCAACACGGTTGTAGAGGTGAGGCGGAATGAAAGGTGCATTAAATGGACTCCCCCTTTCTAGTATGCCCCGATGTGGGGTGTGGTCCTTCTTCCTACTCGATCGTGCTGGGGCATTATCCCTTTGAGTCACCCCCCCTTCGTGCACTTCCACACGAAAGTCATGGTAGAGGTACTCAGACACGTCTTCTCCATCCTGTTCAGTTGCATTTCTGTCCTCCCCCTGTGAGCTGTTGGGCTTGATGGGAAGAAGCACCAAATCGATGACCGGCGAATGGACACCTCTGCCACCGAGTAAGCGCAAAGGTAGATGGTGCTCATATCGCTTGGTTACAAATTGGGTTCTGTTCATGTAAAGTCTTTTAACTGCCTCCACATACATACAATATTTAAATTTGATCACGGTTCCATTGTATGTCGGTGGGAGGAACGGTGGAAGGGTACAGCTGAGGTGGTATTGAGTCGTTTCACTGGGGACTTCAAAATTAACATCGGTGCAGAGGACTATTGGGTTGGAGTAGAAGAGTAAGAATTTTTGTTCTTCCTTTTCATTAACTCCGTAGAATGGTAGGTTAATATTTTCCTGGTTATGTGAGAGTGGGCCATTGGTACAAGCCGTTATTACCTCCTGGTTGAGGATGTACACTCCGTAGAGGTACACCACAACATAATCTAGCTTTACATTCCCTGCATACTTCTTAGGTCCTACCAACTCGAAGGAAGCTTTAAACACGTCTCCGCTGTGTGTCCATGCGTCGTCTAGGCACACGCTTAATGTTATGTGATCATCCTGGACGTGCTCGATGCTGGCGCTGGGGGGTGGGTTGTTCGAAGAGAACAAGAAGTGCATCGCGCGGGGGAAGCGGCGACGAATTGGTGAAGCAAATTATTATTATATATGCCCCCACCGCACCCACGTGTGATTCTCCAACCGGGCAAAACAGAATTTTTTACTCGAAGGTTGATCGCACAATGTGGTAAAAATAAATAACATATTTCAACCTTGCGCAGAGCGATAACAAAAAAGGACGCAAAAAAGGAAAGAAAAAAAAAAAAAAAAAAAAAAAAATTCCCCCCTGTGACAACCAGGTTGGGGCCACTTTCCTGTTCTGCACCTCGCCAAGTGGACCCAATTCATTTTTTGTATGCGCCATTCGGGGCGGGGCAAAAAAGTATCTCATCGGAGGCGACCCCGCCAGCCCTTTTTACACGTTTATCGGACCGCAGATGTGGCTATGAGACTGAGGCAGTTTGCAGCAAAGCATTTTTGCCTTAAAAAATTTTTTTTTTTTTTTTTTTTTTTTTTTTTTAATATTTATTTCTTCCTGGAGAATACCCCCCTTTGGATGTTCTCCTACTGGCGATTTTTTTTTTTTTTTTTTTTTTTTCGAGTTAGTTTTCCCATTTGAGGAATTTTCTTCAAAATTTTTTTTACAAAGTTGCTGCTCTCCCCCCCCAGGTGTACTCTGCGGAGTGGAGACAATATAAAAAACGACGTGACGTCGTAAAAAAAAAAAATTGTTGCATTTTTTCGTTGGAGGAATTTTACCGGACGAGCCTTGCATCCTGTTTAACATTTCTCTTTTTTTTTTTTTTTTGTGGAGTGGAAGCCTCACATGGGGTACATAGCGACGTGCATATTGGCGTGAGTTGTTTTTTTATAAATGACAAGGCCCGCGTTTGTTTCTTTAACTTCCGTCCAACCGATCCTGTGCCTCATCCTGGTGGGTGCCCCTCTCTCCTCGGCATTTCTCACTTGCCCGTCCCAGTAGACGTCCTCAAGATGGGTAAGTTTGGCCGGGACAGGAAGCAGCTCGCACAGAAGGGGTTCAAAAAGGGCCTCAAAAAGGGCACAGAAAAAGGCCTAAAAAATGGCGAAAAAAAAAAGAAAAAACGCCTGGCGGAGGGCCTAGCGAAGGGCCTTGCAAAGAAGGGGATAAGCAAGCCACCGGAAGAGACGTGCGGGAAGGAGGAAAGCAGCGACGTGGTGGCAGGCGCTTCTTCCAACCGGGGCGACCTGTTCGATGGGCTGTTCTCCGACCTGAAGGACATACTGAGCGAGAGTCTACTTCAAACATTGGAAAAAAATAAATTCGTGAAGACAACGAGCATACAAAAGAGGAGCATCCCAATCATGTTAAGTGACAGTGATGTCTTCCTCAAGTCCATGACTGGTTCAGGTAAAACGTTATGTTATGCATTACCCTCTGTGCAAAAAATTCTTAATACACAAAAGGAGAAAATAAGAATTACGAGGGACATGGGTACCTTCATCTTGGTACTCTCCCCCACAAGAGAGTTAGCTGTTCAAATAAATAATTTATTTTTTACATTGACCAAGCCCTATCCCTACATCGTTGTGTCATGTTTAACGGGAGGGGAAAAAAAAAAGTCCGAGAAGAACAGACTGAAGAAGGGTGTCTCCATATTGACCTGCACCCCGGGAAGGTTGCTGGACCATTTAGAACACACGAAGGGGCTGAAGCTGACTCACCTGCAATGTGTTATATTGGACGAGGCGGACAAGGTGATTTTCCTGGGCACGCAGGACAAGGTGCGGTTGATTTACGACACGATTAAGCGGCTCCGCCGGGGGGAGGCGGCCGCACCGACACGCGCCGCCAGTAATGAAGCGGGGCATAGTGAAGCGGTGCATAATCACGCGGCGCACAGGGAAGCGACTCACAGCGACGCAGCGGAGGGGAAGAACTTCCAAATGGTGTTCATCTCTGCAACGCTGAACCACGCGGTGAAGAGCCTGGCCAACTACTGCCTAACCAACCGCACGGTGTGGGTCGAGGCGAACGACGATGGCGCCAGAGGGGCTAAGTTGCTCCCCCCGCGACCCCCGAACATAGCACTCACAAATGGAGATGAAGAGGTGGGTTACACCAACAACAATGTGACAGCCACACTGGGAGGAGGAGGAGCAGCAGCAGCAGCAGGAGAAGACCAATGGGAGTACGAGTTACCAGAACAATTAAAACAGTTTTGCATCGTCACAGATTTGAGGAAAAAATTTTTGTGCCTCGTGCACATGTTACTCTCTTGCATGAAGAAGAAACAAAGACCGGTGGTGTTCCTGTCCAACTGCCACAGTGTAGAGTACATGAGGGCGTTGCTGAAGAATTTATACTGGCCAACTGACTTGAAGAAAGAGAACATGGAGGTGCATAAGAAGTTAAATGAAGGGGTCTCCTCTGTTTTATTAAAGGAAGATGAAAGGTTATTAAAAAAACATTTAGAAAAAACTCTTCAAAAGGAAAAGTGGGCAGATGGAGATGAAGTGAAAAAGCGAAAGGAAAAAATTGCCTTACCATTTAAAAATATTCATGTGGAGGATTTGGAAGACGACTCATGTGATGAGGGGAAGGTTACTTGTGGTCGTGGTGGTGGAGGAGACAGGTCCATATTATATAATGTGAATACAGATCGACACAAGAGGAAGTACCTCTTCGAAGACACACACATATACATTTTACATGGAAGTTTATCCCAGGAAGACCGACTTGGTAATTTCACCGACTTTGCTTGTGGTAAAAATGAAAAGTCCATTTTACTATGCACCGAGATAGTGTCACGGGGAATAAACTTTAACGAGCTAGATGTGGTAGTGCAGTATGACCCTCCACAAGTGTTTGAGGAGTATGTACATAAGGTGGGTCGAACGGCACGATTACATAAGGAGGGATCGTCTTACCTGTTCCTTCTACCAACAGAGGTAGAGTTTCTTAACGTCTTGCGAGGAAAAAATATTCATGTGAAGACCATACGGGGGGAGGAACTCATAGGACGGTTCCGCAGAGAAGACGTGCCTTCGTTTTTCTCGTCCATTGGAGGAGATATACTTAGCTTTATTTATAATCATTTTAAAATGACTGTTAAATCAGATGAGTCACTAATGGAGAAGGCCACCAGTGCCTTCCTTGCATCTGTCACTGCATACTATGCTGTGAGTAAATCACTGCGTCACATTTTTTGTGCCAAGACCCTCCACCTCGGGCACCTCGCCTACGCCTTCCTCCTGGATGAGAGCCCCAAGGAAATAGCCAAGCTAAACAAGCAGCAGCGCTACCTGCGGGTCAAGCGCCACACCACGCTCACCAAGCGGGAGCGCCGTCTCCTCCGCGCGCGGTGAAGAAGCAGAGCGGTCACGCAGTGACGCGGCGACTGCGGGGCGGCACTTGCATTTTTGTCCCGGCTGTCCCTCACAACTCTCTCCGCATCCACACACATTGTGTACACATTTGTGCATTCTTTACTTGTGTTTTTTTTTTTTTTTTTTTTCTCTCTCCCCGCGCACCAACCCCGGTGGACGCACAACCCAACTCTTTGCCCAGCGTGCGCTGAACGCACCGGCGTCGTTTGTTCTTCATTTTATAATTTGCACCAATTGGGCATGCCGCCTTTTCCGTCCATCCGTGCATCCTTCCATTCTTCATATCGAGGGCAGGCTCCTCTGCGCCGAGGACTGCCTACACATTTGCTGCCCCCTCCCCCTTATCGCGTTCACCACTGCGGTGTGAGGGAACACCACAAATGCAGGGTCGAAGCATATGCGGGTGCCACAACCCCCCCTGAGGGAAACATACATAAACAGGCCCTCTTCTTATGAAGAAAAAGGAAAGAGGCAAATGAGACGAGTGTGTATGTGTGTGTGTGGTAGTTGTGACGGGGGAAGGGGCGCAGTACATGTGGGGGGTACGATATAATGCTCTCACAGAACACACGAATGGTAAGCAAGTTATTTGGCAAAATTAAAAAAAAAAAAAAAAAAAAAAAAAA